TTCCCTAGCTTTTCAGAAGTTAATAAGTAAAAACAGAGGTTATTTAATCACTTGAATTCTGTACAGCAGTCTTGCTATTGAACTACGTAAATTTTATTTAGTTCTTCCCTCTTTGCCTCTGCCAATTCATTTAACTATTGTAAGAAAAATAATTTAACACTGTTTGATTTTCACAGATATTTTCCCTTGGTTATTGTCCTACTGGTGAATGGCTAGCTGTGGGAATGGAGAGCAGTAATGTAGAAGTGCTGCATGTAAATAAACCAGACAAGTATCAACTGCACCTTCACGAGAGCTGTGTATTGTCCCTCAAGTTTGCTTACTGTGGTAAGTTACCCCAAAAGTAAGCTGGGAAATCAATCCTTTAATTCGTGCTTCCCTAGTTAATTATTATGTCATTATAAATTATTTAATGGTCAAAACTTATTTAATAAATGCTTCTTCATTTACAAATAAATATCTGTCTGCTTTATGAATACAAATGCTTATCTACAAACGACCATCTGATTATTTTAAGGCTGCTGGGAGGGTTGAGTGCTATGCAAAAAGCTATTTTCATGTAGTGAGTATGGGGGTACTTTAGTGTGTAACAGACAGCAGCAGCATCAGGTACCCACCCTGACTGTAAGCAAGAACACTGTGCTGATTAGTGGCGAGTGCTTTGTATAGTGGTGATTAGGTAACTACCAGATTTCACAGTGTGTTGAAAACCCCAAATCTGCCAGGTGTCCACTTCATATGTTTTCATATGTTTTATATTATAGGTAAATGGTTTGTGAGTACTGGGAAAGATAACCTCCTTAATGCGTGGAGAACTCCTTATGGAGCTAGTATCTTCCAGGTAAGGATGATAATGCTTTTTAAGAAAAATCTAGATTGAGAGTACAAAAAGTGGCCTTGTCCCTTCATCTGTGTGGTTACCTAGAATGGGATGCAGAGATGAGGTTAACAAACTTTTTTTTAATGATGTCATTTATTTCTATTTTTCTTCTAGTCCAAAGAATCTTCATCAGTACTTAGCTGTGACATCTCTGTGGATGATAAATACATAGTCACTGGCTCTGGAGACAAAAAAGCTACAGTCTATGAAGTTATCTACTGAAAAATTTAATGGGGATATAACTTTTAAAAGTTGAACTGGGCCAAAATTGCTCTTAATTGTAGAAGTAGAAAGGTTTTGCCTTGTAAAAAGGAGCGAAAAATTGGGGATACAGACCTTGCCATGAAACTACTCCGATTATTCAAAAATAGAAGGCAACATCCAGCAACTAAATCTTGGCTACGTGGACCAAACAACACAAAGGCGAGCAGGACAGATGTAGCCTAGATTTTTGACATAGTTTTTAAAAAATGAATCTGCTGAAGAATGATGGAGCCTTTTATTTTTCTTTTTCTTTGTGACCTCATGCAAATCCTTCTCATTGCCTGAATTTGTGGGATTACATTCTGTTCCTTGCAGTTCAATTTGCATTCTGTCTTATGTAGAGCAGTGGTGTCGCGAATTAACTTGTTTCCTGGTTTTGCATCTTGTGATATGTTTTTGTATTTTGTTGAAGGTCAAACATTTGTATAAATTGTAAATATATTTAGTTTATTACGGTAAAGGCTTTAGTATCAACAACCAGTCTTTCCTTCCCCTGCCACTCCCTGCTTATTAAGTGATCTATTTAAAAACCTTTGGGGATAAAAAATTACCTTTTTATAAGCAAAAGCAAACACTATGTATAGTTTGAAAATGGTGTCTTATTCTTTATAGCTCTTCTTAGACTTCCTTACTGTACTTCAAAGTAGTCAATTGGTATATTAGAGTATAAAATCCAGTAGGTATTGTCTTGTGCTGCAGAAAACTTAAGAAGCAATTTTGTACTAATTTTAGTGTACATACAAAAAATGAACATTTCATAAAATTGTGCAGTTTATAAGTTTACTCTGTCCATTATATATTTTCATTGGTAGATATAGTAATATATGTGCTTGATCATAATTCATTTGCTCATCTCTCAAAAGAAGAGGTAATTGCACACACACACACACACACACACACACTGAGCAGAATTCATGCAGGACTACATTTCAACTAAGTACATCAGAGGTTTTATTAATTAAGAGAAGATTCCTATGATTAAACAAGGCTAGATAACTTGTGTCCTTCATGTTTTAGAGAATCTAATCAGTAGTTAAAGACCGTTTCCTTTCTAATGCCTTGTCTACACACTTGTCTCAAGTAAATTTGGCTAAATCACTAGCAGTGTGCATTTTACAGAGGATCATTTAATGTTAAGTACTTGTGTGACTGCTTTCATTCAGAATTCATTCAGAAATGAATTAACCTAAACTGCATTAAACTTATTAAACTTGATTCTTAATTTCTTGTGAGAATATAGACAAAGGTTTCTTTTTTTTTTTTTTTAAACTAATCCACTCTTCAAATTTATTAATTTAATTGTACTGAGTGTCTCCATGTGGACAGGCAGTGTTGTGTCCCTTTTTCTATGGCACCAGTGTGGGACATCACTGAGAAACTAAACCAAGCAGCCAGTTAGCAAAACTAGAAGCCTGCAAATCATTTTTTGATGTATTTAAGAGGAGTGGATGGGGATAGAATATGTGCATTTATTCTAGTTATGTTGTTTTTTTGTTTTTCCAATTAATGGGTTCTACCACAGTGTACTAGACAAGTCTAGCTATTATCCTAGTGGAGACCATATATTTCCTAGATTCTGCAACTGAACTAGCATTTTGGTTGACAGTGGAGAGTACAGCTGCGTGGAAAGAAATCTTTGAACAAAGAGTTCAGATTACACAAACTGGCAGACAGGTTAAGATTATCTGTAAAGAACTGCGCTCTCATTTCCCTTAGTTTTTGACAGTGAGCTACATCCTTGACCTTTCAAAGACATGTAACCATGTAGAAGCCAATGTCACCAACAGATTCACTGACTTGCTATGGCAATTTTCCAGTTAGGGACAAATTTTCTCTCTGTTTTTTCTGCCTGAATGACTTTATTTTTTCACTTTACATGAGTATTTATTCTACAGAAACCATCTTATAGCACTCTAGGTAGAATTGTAGTAGCCTATAAGTATACATAACTTTACATTTGGAATGTGGAATGTTAACCATTCCAGATGATCTAGTTTCGTAGATTCTACATTTAGTGTCTGTTCGTATGTATCTTTGTTGCTGCATCCTGAATGTGCATCTGTATGAAAATGACCTACCACCATGGTATGTGGGCATGCTTCTTCCTCAAGTACTGAAACAAAAAGCAGAACCATCTGGCTTTTCAGAAGAAATAATCATATTTGTTACACTGAAATACTGTAAAGTGGTATGCCATTTTGAATGAAAGTTTTAAAAATGTATACACTAGATTTCCTCATTTTTAGACTGTCCCTGTTTTCATATTGAAGAATATTCCAGACACCTGACTGTATTACCGATGATCAGTGACTTTGGTTAGCAACAGTAGCAAAGTCCAAGGAAAGCATTTGATGTGGCTCGGAACATCTGGATTTGTTCCAAACTGCACCCATGTTAGCTTTTATTTTGGCTTTCTTATCTGATTTTGAAGGATTTTTTTTTAAAAAAGTCACATACTTATATAATATAACTTTGGAAAAAGTATATGTGTATATAATAATTCCACAGTAAACAGCACTTTGGTAGTTATTAATAACTAAGACTAAATTCTTACTATTCAAGAGGTTCAGTATGATCAGGTCAAGAAAAATTATGAAGTATCTCTGTCTTTCCCTCTTGTATCCATCATATTTTATAGGATGGAGAATGCATTAGCTTTTAGACTGTGCAGTGAGTCTGAGCAGTTATGGAACTGGACATTCTTTATGCCTGTGAATAAATTTAATCATACTTATGCTTTAGTTGGAATCAAAAAATTACTGTCCCGGCCTCCTTCAAACTTAGGGTTCTGCATTAAGCCTTGGTTTTGAAAACGTAGAGACTCAACATGTAACAGCCCTCTCTATTTCTGGTTTTACATGTTCTGCTTTTTACTACACCAACATTTTTTTTTAATGAAGAAATGGTGTGTTTCATTTGGTGAAATCTTGGCAAGACTGTCTCTACATCTTTTCTACAATATTTAAAACTTGAATGCCTTGAACTTTTTTTAACTTTTTACTAGCCCTCTGTAAAGTAGTGGAAGGAAAAAAGTGCATGCTGAATGAAGCAACACTCCAAATCAGACTCACAATAGCAGAAAGGGCACTGTAAAAAGTACATGGAAAGAAAAGGATGAAGCACTAGCTAGAAGGTAGCTAATAATTATTTTCTGACAGTTTAATTGTAATCCTAAAAGACCCATTTACAGGCAGTCCAACTTCTGTATTCAGAATCATTTGGATGTCACTCTGCCAAACTCTGACACCATAGGCAGGGAGTCTTTGTAAAAGACTTTGGATGTCAGTACAAACAATAACTGATGAGGAAGAGATTTGTGGTAATAACAAGTCAACTGAAGAAAAACCGTTCCCAGTTGTATTATATATATTTTGTTTATGTGTACTAGGCATAACCTTTTATAGATCAATTGTGCATAAAATCATATTATTCCCCACAATGCATTTGCTGGAGTGCCACACCGCGTCTTTTAGATTATAGTTCAAAACAATGGTATTTCCCCACACCAAGCCACCAGTCTCTAGTCCTTATCAGGAAAACGTTTTCATCTGAATTGATTCTTCTAAACCCTTTTCACATTTCAAAAGCTTTCCTTTTCAAAGGGAAGGAGAAGTTCAAAAAGGACTTATCAAGTCCAGGGCCTGTTAAAATATATATTTTTTCATACTATAAACATCAGGGTGGTACATTTTTGCAGAACCAGAGCGCTGAAGCAGCTCTGTGGAGCATCTGATGAACACCGGAATGGAAGCAAGTGTGCATGGCAGAGGGTACGAAGAGGAGGGAGGCGAGAGTGGTGACATACCTTTTTGGTGTTAGTATAATCTGTAATTTAGGAAACTCCAGTATGCACTTTCACCCATTACTCTGTCCCATATGAGGTTGTCCAGATGTTTCTGAACAGTAATCAAGGACACTTGAACTGTGAATTAGAATTGAAAGTGGGTTTCTCCCTAGTGTTCATAAGTAGTAATCTACTTTCCAAGAGGAAAGTGATCAATCACAGCCAGTTCTCAGCATTTCCCATTACCTTTTTTTTTTTTTTTTTTTGTAGTGAGCTCAGCTTTCCAGCAATTGATAATCCCATTTTGAGCAACATGCTTCCAGATGTCCCAAAGAAGCATAAGTGTTTACTGTGGCAAAGTGAATTTTGCCAAGGAAACCACACATGTAGCGTACTTTAAAATCTGCGTTGTGGATCTAGTTTACTGACCTTTCTGAGTTCACTCAGAATTTCTGATGAACTGTGCAGAGAACTCTCACTTAAAAATACATTTATTCTCTAGAACATAGTAGAATCACTACTAAACACAAAGGGAAGCAGGAATAAGCAGAGTGCTTTGTTTTCAGAGGACAGAATGTTCTTAAGGATGCTATATGCTTTTTTTGAAACAAAAAGAATCTATTGCTTCTGCAAAATATATTCCAGCTTCACAGAGCTGGAAGAATTTGTGTTTCCTTGGAGCTAAAGTGCTCTTCTCTAGGAAGAGAACAGCAAAAGTTGATGTTGCGGTACCTATGTTATTTTTTTTTGTGACTTCTTTTTTCCAAATCTGAGCACTTTTTGTTAGCCCACAACCACCACACACATGCGCACACACATACCCCTACTCTCTGTCTCACCACCTATTCTCATTAATCCCAGCTCCCTCCTGGAAGCTAAAAATCAGGCTGTGTCTTTTCTGGCTCCTGCATCAGTAAAGATTTTGTAGCAAACAAGGCTGTTGGTGATAGGCAGCTTACAGAAAAATCTAGTTGTGTCTTTTAGTGGCTACCTGCATAGATCATATAAAACAGTCTATGACCAATTTTCCTTACTGAAGCAAGCACCCAATGATAAGATAGCATCATTGCTACTCATGTTATTTGTGGAACGGCTGATCAGTGTAGCTGACTCACATAGAAGAACTCTGTGGTGGCTCCTGAGGTAAAGTGTCGGCTTGAGATCATTCCTGTCTTAACATTTCACATGCAGTTTTGCCCACAGTAAGGTGATGTTGACTCATAAGAGAGATAGTGCAAACCATAGGCAGTTGCTATTGAACAGGGCTTGGCAAGTTTTGCCTTCGTTATGCTCACAGCACAGAGGTATGATATCTTGTAAAGCTCTTTTCTAGCTATGGTTTCTGCCAACTATGAGTAAGAAAAAAAGATAAACAAAGCCTGGAGATTAAGTAATCAAATATATTGTTATCCTTATTTCTTTTGTGTACTCTGACATTAGTACAGAGAGTGGAGATGATAGCTTGTAAATGATCAACACTGGTCTTCCTTCAAGGACTGATTCTAATGGCGGTTTAGAAAAGTTAACAAGCAGAATGAAAAGGTCATAAATGGAAGTTAGCCTGTAGCATTGGAAAACTAAGAAATCACTTGTTACTTCCCTGGTAGTGAGCCTAATTTGTTTAAAATAAAATCCATATGTTCATTTCACACTCTTCGTTCCACTTCCTTGCAACAATCCACAGTGGATTACTCCATTACTTTAAAAATTGGCTGCAATTATGATAAGCTAATAACTCCTACTTCGTGGTTTGCTGTAGCAGGATATTTTGGAGAATAACCAAGCTTCTCTCTATTCTTAAGAATAATCCAGCTATTGTCATTTTTTTTGCAGTTGTATCTAAATATTTTGTTAATTAGATTTCATATCATCTGATTCGTACCATCTGATTGCTGTACAAATTCAAAATATTTTTGAGGGTTGATGAATCAGCCAAACACTGCTGCTAAATATGTTAATGACCTGAATGTGAGTTTGGTATTTGCCTGGCATGCCATGT